CCTTATTACATTGTAACAGCTAAGGCGAAGCGCCTATTGACCTGAGTGATGTTGAGTTGGCCACGCCCACCCAGTCACATGACCACCAAGCCACGCCTACCCAGCTGGTCATTAGGGCAGAGAGCCGGTTGTTAAATTATTTCAATCCCACCACTGGCCGGATCCGATCCCTGGGCCTTGAGTTTGACACCCCTGTTCTAGATTTTAAATCCAGGCATTCCTTTCTCCTAGAAACAATTCTTTTTTAAAAAATAAATAAAAATACCTGATAAAAAGAAACTGTGGCAGATTAAGGAAGGATGTTGGGTGTCCAGAAGATGCAGGAATTGTCCAGGTAAATACACAGCCACGTAAGAGCCTGTTTTGGGATGAATGGGTGTTTTTTTTTAACATAATAAATCAAAATAAAACAAGACAGTAGTGAAATGTGCACACTAGGTGCATTATTCAACACTGCGGTATTATTATTATCATTAAATCTAGAATACAGGTAGTCCTCGATTTACGACAGTTCATTGAGTGACCGTCTGAAGTAAGAACAGCACTGAAAAAAGTGAACTGTGACTCTATTTTTTTCATACTTACGACCATCACAGGATTTCCACGATCAGGTGATCAAAATTCAGACTCTTGGCAACTGACTCATATTTGTGACGGTTGCGTGTCCCGAGGCCACGCAATCCCCTTTTGTGACCGTCTGACAAGCAAAATCAACGGGGAAGCCAGCTTCGCTTAACAACCACGTTCCTGACTTAACAACTGCAGGGACTCACTTCACTCCGGGGGCAAGAAAGGTCGTAAAACGGGGCAAAACTCAACTTAGCCACTGTCTCACTTAGCAACAAAAATGGGGGCTCAATTGTAGTCATAAGTCGAGAACTACCTGCAATTATATTTCGTTAAGCAGGCAACCCCCAATTTAGCTCCCCCCCTTTTTTGTCTTAAGCAATTCCAATGTTGTGGGGGTGTTTCGCAGGAAGCGAAGCAGCTGAAAGAATTTAAATGTTTCCCCCTCACGAAAAATGCCAAGTCTTATGACTGACTACAGGCTATTAAAACGCTTTGTTCTGCCAAGCAGAATGAAGCCAAGTTAGAAACAATTCCTTATTTGGCAAACCAGATTTATGGGGATCGGGAAGAGATCACGGCAGAGCACAGAGACAAAACAAAACACGTATGTTCTAACTTTTCAATGGAAAGAACTCCCAAGTTCCCTAGATTGTTAAGTGTGTCTCAATCAGAGGAGCGGAAAAGGAGGGGAAGTGGGGGGGACAAAATTATTAATTTACCAAGATCCAAAAAAACCAGCTCCTTTATTTGCGGAGAATTCCTCTCTTCCAAAGTGACGATATATGTTTTACTATAACCTGAAAAGAGAAAGAGGAGAAGGTAACCAGCTAGGCTAGCCAAAATGTACGAAAATTTATCACCTAATTGCTGGAAATGTAACCAAACACCGGGCACTTACAACTACATGTGGTGGACATGTAGAAAGACACAAAAAAAACAACTATTGGCAAAGGACTCAAATGTGGTTGGAAGAAAACGACCGGATAGAAATTGGAATTTAAACCAGAAATATTCTTATTAGGAATTGTAAAAGAAGGTCAAAGTAAAGGGCTAACATATTTAACATTATATATCATAACAGCAGCGAGAATAGTTTGATGTCCAACCATGGAAGAGTGAGAACATACCTCTGGAAAGGGAAACAATAAAGATAATATTAGACTCTGCAGAATGTGATAGATTAACGCTGGGACTAAAAAACAAAGGAGAGAACCGAATACTATCAGATTTGGAATAGATTTTACCCATCGTTGGATTTGAGGAATAGAAGTCGGAACGGAAAGAACAAGGATGTATAGATTGAAAGAAGATGTAATATACGTATTATATTATGAAAATATAATATTTATAAGGGGTTAAGTGTATATATTTAGTTAGTAATGTGTTGTGGCCCAGCAGGAGCCGTTGGAGCTGCCACCAGACTCCGACAGCGAGGGGCCCTAT